TATCGCAGCAGTGATTCAGAGCTGTGGGAAAAGAAAGTGATCTGAGTGTTTATCTAGATTCTTCTTCGTTCTCATCAAGACTGAGTGTGGCGAAGCAATAAAAAAGTAAAATTAACGACAAGGTCCAGAGCAAAAAGCGAGAAATTTAAATCAGGTGAAGTCATGCTTGAGCTATATAACTCACTAGTAAGACCTCATTTTGAATGTTGTGCTCAGTTTTGTTCCCCACAGCACAAAAAAAAGGTATTTCATAAGTTAAGAGAGTTATTTTTTTCAGTCTAGGGCAAGAGATAGAAAATTGATTTAGGACACAGAATAGTCTCCTATGATGTAATAGTTACATGAAGAGCTGTGTGTATCTGGAATAGGCTTTCCAGACAGGTTGTGGAAGTTTAAACTCTTTTAAGAATCATCTGGACTAACCTTTACATTAACTTATCTACTAAACAAGCAAATGAGTGAGATATGCTGAAGGGTTCCTCTTATTTGCAGCCTTCCTAATGTTCTTAACGTGATATCTGCTGATTCAGGCATTCTTTCTTCAGTGAGATCCAGGTTCTACATTATAAGTAACAGAGTAGTGTTGTGCAGCACTCAGTCTGAGGAATCCATTAGAGACTGCTAGTCAATATTTACAAAACTCACTCAAAAACTATATACTTTAGTTGTGCTCTTTTCAGTCTACTGTATTTTCACAGCTTCCTTTTTACTTTTTTCATGTGTATTCTGTACAGATGTACTATTATACAGCACCTTGGAGGTTTTTTGGTGTTATAAATAAAATTATATCTTTATTATTTGTGTTACTTTAAAAGCCACATTCTAACTTGATCTCACCAGCACCCACCAGACTCAGGTTGGTTACTGCGATCTGCCATGACTGACACAACACAGAGAGGCAATGCTCACTTTGGAAGCCTGTCGATGCCACCTCTGGTAGTCCGCCAGAGTGTCAAAGTTGACGAAGTAGGTCTGAGCCTGAGGTCCCGCCGAGCTGAACATGAGGCAGTGCTGGCGGCGCTTCACCTCCTCCACCTGCAGGAAACACAGCTGTCACAGTGCAGCCGAGCTTCTCCCACACT